TTCAAAGAGATCTTTGCACTAGAAGTATTCTAAAATGTGAAGCATACAACCCCAGGGGTACAAAAAATGACCCCTGGGCGTACAGATAGGGTTAATGTGTCCATGTGTAGTTATTTTCATTCGGAGAAGACAAGTACATTATAGCGTTCTATTTATTTAGCTGTTTGTCTTTTATTTATCCGTTTTTGCTGCATTTTAATCTGTCAGTGTGTTAATTTTTAAAAAAAATTGTTTTGATGTGTTGTTGTTTTTATTTTTTGTGTTTATATAGCATTGTAATTTAATTTGATGTTGTTCCAGCCTTTCTAAAAAAATTAATATGTTAGTGGGGGTTGGTGGGTGCTCTGATGTGGTTTGCTTCTTTTTTCCTATCAAACATCTATCGTCCTTATCTCCCTTTCTTCTTTTTTATGTTTGTTACTCTCTTGTAACACCTCTTCTGACGCTCATATGTCATTTGGCATTATGCAGTTGCGAGAGCCGTAAAACCTCTACTAAATCTAAAACCTAAATGTGTTATGTTAGAGCGTGTGATTCCACAATTTACATGTAGTATCCTATACTTTGCTAACAGCGTCAGTTACCAGTATGCCCCACCCCTCAAACATCCTAACATCCCCACTGAGACCAAAACCAAGCTCATTAACTCTATCTTCATCCCCACCTTGACCGACCGACCAGTGCCAGACATGGACCCTGACCAAAAGTCTGGAACGTAAGATAACCACCTGCGAGATGAGATGTCTTAGGAGAGCCGTCAACAAAACCAGAAGAGACATGGTCAGAAACAACAAGATCAGAGAAATGGCGGGAACAACACCTGTCCCCCGCTACGTTCAAAGGCAAACAATAGTAAGGACATTTATATAGTACTCAACTCCGATTAAAGTACTTAGGCTCTGGCCGCTTTACAATACAGTACAACGTACAACAGTAACATAAAACCTTGTGTTCTGACTAAAAGAAAATCACTCCAAATATTCATCTTATTCATTGAAAAACAGAGACTTCAGCTGACATTTGAATGAATCGAAAGATTTGGTCTCTCTTAAAGTACTTGGCAAAGCATTCCAGATCTTGGGGCCTTGGTATTCAAATGCCCTTTCACTCATTGTTTTAAGTTTCATAGATGGTAAAAAAATGTCTTTTTGTCAGGTGATGACCTTAAACTGCGAGTTGAAAAGTACAGTCTTAACAGATTTGATAAATACGATGGTGCTTTATCATTCAAATATGTGTGACATAGGGTGGCCAACTTGTACACAATTCTTTTCTCAGCAGGAAGCCAATGCAGTGTCCGTAAATGAGTCAGGTGGTTTGGACACCTCACACGTATGGCACCTCACCAGCTTGCCAGTAAAGCTTAAGTCTACTACAGGAAACTATCAGGGTACAAGGCAAGAGGAAGACCAAGAAAGATCTGGATCCAGGGTGTGAAGGATACCCTGAGAACATTCAATATCCCACCCAGCCAGGCCATCAAACTTGCTAGAGACAGGAAGCTCTTTCTCCACTCGACGCCCTAGAGGTACAAGAGGACGGATAAAGTAACGTAAGTATCCTGTACTTTTTCTTGAATTACACACGTTTAGGGTTAAAACGGCCAATCTTCGGATAGGCGGACACACGCCCTTATTTGTATTTAATTTTTGTGGTTGTTTATGTGCTGTTCTAATTTTGATTTTATTCTATTGTGAAACCTTTATTTTTCACCTTTGTACACTCCGTGTGGCTACAAAAAATATTCTGGATGCTTAAAACTATAACAGAGCCATAGAAATTCTGGTGTTTTAGATTAAGTTACCTCTATCAACATATTGCTATATATACGTCGTCACAGAGAGTTGAAAGCTTGAAAATTAATGGCATCTTTTATGGCAACTTTTGCTTTTTTTTTTTGTGGCAACTTTTGGCGACTTTTGAATCAAAAATTGGCAACAAACGCAGATACTAGTATAACGGCAATTTAGTGAAGAACAAAACAAGGCACATTTAGTGAAGAACAAAACAAGGCACATTTAGTGAAGAACAAAACCAGACAGACTGACAAAAAGAGCAGAGGGAAAGAAAATAGGCACATGGAACAGTTATTTAATGAAAGGGAAAACAAGATATTGACAGGGGGGAAAACGGAGTCAAGGGCGGGGACCAACCAGCCCCCAAATCCCTGCAAGGTCTGACATACATGTATTAAAAATTATGAGAAAAGCAAATCTGAAACAAAATCATGCCGTCCCTGTTCATGATAGAGACAATTGTCAGAGATAATCATTTGGTTATTTAGAAAGTTATTTTAATTTTATATGACTGAAATACCTTGGGAAAGATAACATGGCTTAGATATAAATAATCAAAACGCAAGCTATCTTTTCTATTCCTTTAGACAAATTAATACAATAACACCTCAAACACATTGTGTTTGCTGAAAGAACAATATTGGGTCAATTGTGTGTTTGTCTTTTAAAAGAAATCTGGACAGCCCTACACATACGTACACATGTACTTCGTATCTATCACACAAACTGCAATACTGTGTTGGCACATTATAAAAAGTCAGTCCTGTTGTATGGATATGAGACATCATGGAACGCATCACAGACTTTCATAAGGAGAATCCAGGTTTTCTTGAACAAGTGTCTAAGAAAGTTACTGTGGATCAGATGGACAGACAGGTCACCAAAGAGGAAGTGTTGAGGAAAACAAGACAGATCCCAGTCAGAGATGAGGTAGGAAGAAGGCAGGGGTGATGGATTTGGACGTGCTCTCAGGAAGTCAGGTAGCTGCATAACAAAGAAAGTTTTGGATTGGAACCCACAGGGCAAGAGATCAAGGGGAAGACCGCGTGGAACCTGGAGAAGAATCACAGACATTGATGTACAGAAAAGTGGAATAACATCAGGAGGCAAGCCGAGGATAGAGACAGGTGGAAGGTGTTTGTCCGTGGCCTATGCCCTAGTGCAGGGTGAGAAAGGAAATGATGATGATGATGACATTATAAAAAGACGACCAAGACAGCAACATCTTTCACGCTGAAAAACTTACCCAAAGATACGTAAAGTTGAAGCAAAGCGACTACAAATATCCCGGAAGTACACGACAATCCTAGAGTCCCCGCCATGTTGGATTTTTGAAAGGAAATTGTCAAAACATAAACCACTATTCTAAAACGATGTATATCTATTTCCGTTTACGAAATCGTTCAGCACGTATGGAGGAGAAAAATATTTCACATTTGATGATTGTTGTCGTTGTTTTGAATTTTGGACAGTTCAAGTTTCTTCTCTGTTCCACTCAACTGCCCGCCATTCTGCTGTGTGACTCTCACCATTTCCTCCATCAGGTCCCGCGTAATGACAAGGGCACGCTCAAGAGACATGCGACACTCCGGTTAAACGGCAATTCTTTTAAACGCTTTAAAATCGTTTTTATGTAAAAGAGTGGGCTCACAAATGCGTTTTTTCCCTATAATCACATTGATTTACATGGTAAAAATGAAAAACTTTATCCTTCCATTCCGAACTTACTAGATCTAGGCCGTGTACATATACCCAAGGTCTCTATTCTTCGTGAAGGAATTTCGATCACCGTGAATCAATGCATGAAAGACGCTTTTAACTTATTTTTAAATGAGGAAAGGGAGGGGGGTGTGGTGTCAAAATTAACCTTTATATATTCAAACCGAAGACATGGCCTGGCCTGATCTGAGTAGCTCGAGACCGTGAGAACCGGAGGGTCATTACAGGTTAACTTCTGAATCTGACCTACCTCCAGGTAGATATATTCAAACCGTGGACAGGCGATAAAGCGGTTTGTCCTTACGGGAACGATTCCGTTATCATCGGTTTGAACAATGATAAAGGCTCCTGGTTTTGCTGATAACCAGCAGCATGACACAGGATCACTGGCCACTAGTCACAACACCACACAACACACCAGGGAACGGCGCTCAGAGGCAGACCGGCCCGACATCTTTCTTATCGTCCCTAACACTTAGATCAACACACAGGCTTGGCTCTGTGTTGTTTCAGTTTCAGTAAGGTTTCACGGCACTTGCATTTATGGAAACTTTACTTATCAAACGAGTGTTTTATGTGATGTGATGTGGGCCAATGGCTTTAAATACTTAACACTTTAAAGACGTGTCAGACAGATTTGTCTGACCAAAAACAGTTCAAATTCAATGTTGTGGCACATTTCAAGCCCACATACACAAACCACTTGCAACTCAATAAGGTCATATTATAAGTGCAGAATATTAGAGGTGTTACAAGAGAGTAACAAACATAAAAAAGAAGGAGGGTAGATAAAAACGATAGGTGTTCGGTAGGAAAGAAGGAGTAAACCACACCAGAGCACCCGCCAACCCACCCACGCTCGGGTCTGTGTTGTTTCAGTTTTAATAAGGTTTTACGGCTCTCGCAACTGCATGAGTTCATATGAGCGCCAAGGGGTGGGTGTCAACAGAGAAGTCCTTACAACTTACAGGGAATCAGACTTACTCTGCTCACCTCTCTGCTAGCTTCAGCAGCACAAAGTCTGCTTCGACTATCATTAAGGCACTCCGGAAATAGCAGTTCACAAGAGAGTGACAAACATATTAAAGAAGTAGAGGAGAAATGACGATAGTAAGGATGAGGAAAGAAAAGGCAGCCGCAGTCCCCCCCCCCCCCCCCTATGTTGTTCCAGCACTGTATGAGCATGACATTGATAAATCAGCCCATTTACAATTCTACTGAGCATAAGAACATGTTAATACCTCCCCCCCCCCCCCACCCAGTGTTGGAAAATGACCCGCGCGATCTTTCCTCAAGTGTCTTCAACAGTGGTTTGTTTTTGTTGAGTCAAACTTTACACAGTTACACTTAACCCTATCCGTACGTCGTGTTTTACTATCGTATCCATACGACGTGGGGAACTCTGAGCCACCACTTAACCCTATCCGTACGTGGTGTTTTACTACCGTATCCATACGACGTGGGGAACTTTGGGCCACCACTTAACCGTATCCGTACGTCGTGTTTTATTATCGTATCCATACAACATGGGGAACTCTGTGCCTCCCCGTTTCAAAGAGGAAATTTACTCGTTAATCCGATCCGTTCGCTTTGCATAGCAGTCTGCCAAAATGATTTTTTTGAGAAATACTGAAAGTTTCAAAGACATCTTTGTATTAGAAGTATTCTGAAATGTAAAGAATACAACCACGGTGTTGTAAAATGACTCCAGGGCGTACGGATAGGGTTAAACTTTACACAGTTAAATTTAAATTTAAATCTAGGTCAGTTGAGATTGGAGTGGAGGTGGAGTCACAGATACTGCGGCGCGGTGCTGTGACGTCACATTACGCCGAGCCCTAGATTCTAGGCCTAATGGATCAGATAGAAAAAAAGAACTTGTCCCCGTTTGGATTTTACGTTGTGTTCGAACGAATAAAGAACGATTTTGATTTAACATCGGGGGGTGGGGAGGAGGAAGGGGGCTCTTATCTCTCCACCTACCTGGCTCCACCTTATCGGAGACGGACCTCACTCTTGGAAGCCTGAAACCTCTTGATTAACCGTTCCGAGTTGGAAAGGGTGTTAAATAACCCCGTCGCACGCGGAAGATGTGGGTTCCATTCCTGGGTGTGGAGAATGTTTATCGAGCAAGCCTGCATGTATCATAATCTGTTCTTTCTGTTGGAACGTTGTATTCCTCTCTGCCCGGGTTGATACTGAGCTCTGATTCAAGAACTAATGGAACAGAAAGAAAAAGAACTTGTCCTCGTTTTGAGTTTAGGTTGTGTTCGAAGGAATTCAAAACGATTTTGATATTTAACATCGGGGGGAGGGGATAGGGCTCTTATCTCTGAAGTAGTAGGCTACTACTGTCCGTCTTTCAGTCAAAAAATGTAGATGATAATGTATTAGATGTTGCGGGTGGTTGGCGGGTGCTCTGGTGTGGTTTGCTTCTTCTTCTTTCTTATCAAACATCCATCGTCCTTATCTCCCCTACTTCATTTTTGTGTTTGTTACTCTCTTGTAACTCGCATCTAATCTTCGGCACTTATATGACCGTATTGTGTTGCAAGCGCCGTAAAACACTTACTAGCATTAATACTGTATTAGATGCCTACAAATCTTACAGGTCTGCGCCCCTCTCTTTTTCTTTTTTTTTTTTTATTGATTGCATTTTATTTTCAACCTTTGATAGTTAATACAAGGCTAGAGGGCGACCGAGAAAAACCTGGATAGATGGAGTCAGGGAAACACTAACCACCCACGGCATCCCCCTCACCCAAGCTCTCTGGCTGGCGACAGAGAGACGTCTCTTTCTTCCCGCGACATCCAAAAGGGTATAAGCGGCGGATAAAAGTAAAGTAAGTAGGACCGTTGGTTATTTAGGGTGTTTTCGAGGCTCTCCGCCTACCTGGCTCCGTCCTATCGGAGACGGACCTCACACTTGGAAGCCTGACACCCCGAGAATAATCGTTCCGTGTTGAAAGGGGTGCTGAATTATACTTTCCATGCTGCAGTACACCGCGCTAGTTTTCCAAAATTAATCGCAAAGTGGCAGCAATCTTCGTTTTTTAGTAAGCGTTATACGGCACTTGCAACACAATTAGGTCATATAAGTGCCGAAGATTAGAGGGTTTACAAGAGAGTAACAAACATATAAAGGAACAGGAGAGATAAAGACGATAGTTATTTGATAGGAAAGAAGGAGCACACGACACCAGAGCACCCGCCAACAACCCACCTGCATATCTATATTCGTTCTTTCTTTTGGGATGTTGTATCACTCCTTGCACGGGTTGGTACCGACAGGCAAGATTGAAGTTGAAGCAGCGCACCTCCTAAATGATCCAATTTGTGTCAATATGAGCGTAAAACATGCATCGTTATGGGTGGTTAGCGTGTGCTCTAGTGTGGTTTGCTCCTTCTTTCCTGTAAAAAACTATCTTCCTTCTTTTTTGTATTTGTTACTCTCTTGTAACGTCTCTAATCGTCGGCACTTATATGACCTTATTGTGTTGCAAGTACCGTAAAACTCTTACTGAAACTTTAAAAAAATCTTCTATACCACAGTTGGTGCGCACCACAAAATCAGAAAGTGAAACGTGAGAAACTCTCCCCTCACACCCATGTGCACTGCACGTATGTACCGGAAGTTCTTCCACGTCAAGATGGCGGCGTTTCCTGTTCCTTTCCATCTCCGTGATTTTCTCAGGCTTGACAAGATCTTCTCAGTATGTTAGTGTTTTAGCGCCTATAAATGGCTGCTTGCACTGTATGCTTCCCAGGAAGTTGAGGTTGTTTCAGAATGCTCCCAGGTCTGCTGGGGTAATAGTATAGATTGTGAAGCGCATAGAGCTTTCCGAGCTTGCTGTTGAGCGGGGATTTGCGCTATACAAATGCTATCTATTATTATTATTATTATTATTATTATTATTATTATTATTATTATTATTATTATTATTATTTTTATTATTATTATTATTTTCTGATCTTTTGAGAACATCTAGGACGAGACAAGCAGGGATTTCGTGGGTGGTTGGAGGCTGTGCTGCTAGGTTCTGCTTCTTAACTTTCTGTCTGTCTGTTTGCTCCCCCCCCCCCCACCCCGTACAAAACGGCAGCTAGATTTAAATCTAGTGTGTCGATGTGCATCTGTTCAGTTCAAAACTCAAGCTGAGTTGTCCTGATGTTAATTTAGCCACCACCGTTTGGTTATCTCCTTACAGGTTTTAACTTTAGTAAGGGTTAGTGGGTGGTTGGCGGGTGCTGTGGTGTGGTTTGCTTCTTCTTTCCTATGAAACATCTGTCGTCTTTATCTGCCCTCCTTTTAGTGTTTGTTACTCTCTTGTAACACCTCTAATCTTCGGCACCTATATGATCTTATTGTGTTGCAAGTGCCGTAATAACTTACTAAAACAAACTCAGTTCGAAACTCAAGCAGAATGTCTTGTAATGTTTGTCACTGTCTTGCTATTTCCCTACAGGTTTTAGTTTTAGTAAGAGTTTTACGGCACTTGCAACACCATTAGGTCAATATAAGTGCCGAAGATTGCAGGTGTTACAAGAGGGTAATAAACACAAAAAAAGAAGGAGGAGAGATCAGGACGATAGATGTTTGATAGGGAAGAAAAAGAAGGAGCATGCCCCCACTGGAGTACCCGCCAATCACCCATAATAATATGCATCAGTTACATACATAGTATAATATATGTATATTCATATATTATTTTTATAAAATACATTTATACATCCATGCCTAATAAGATGTATCATGGGGTCATAATACGTGTTTATCTGAAAGTAATTTGCGCAAATCGGAGAAAGTTAGTTTTAGTTTTAGTTTTAGTTTTAGTTTTAGTAGAGGTTTTACGGCGCTCGCAGCTGCATAAGGTCATATGAGAGCCAGGACAAAGAGACACAAATGTCGTTCTGTCATCGACACACTCTGTTTTACACAGTTACTCCCCTTTAAAATGTCAGAGCCGTTTGAAAATTTCGTGTTATAAATAGATCCACATGATGGGTTAACTGCTTTTCCACTCTCGG